AAGTAGTATGTGAATCTTTCTGAATAGAATATAACAAGAAAAGAATAATAATATGAATCTCTTTGGACTAAACACTGAAATAAAAGCAGGGTCATCACATTCTTTCAAAAACTTTCTTCCCCTGACTTTTCAGACAAACATCCATGCTTCCAGACCTGTATATGCACATGTATGACACACTGATAGTGATTTTTTTTCCTCCTAATTCCTCCTACTTACTACCACTTGTTATAAAGAATAATGAAAACTTTAGAGAATAACTGTTCTATTACTAAAAAAGACTGTTAAAAACAGACATTGTAACTTGGTAGTAAGCAATACAATTCTGTATTTTTATTCATAAAACACAATTTCACTCAACTTATTATTATATAAAATGAATCAAATGATTATCATCATATATAATAACATAGAATGACTGACTAAGATTATGTCACTATATACCAATAAATGATATAGCTAAGCAGTACAGTTTATGATCACCTGTTAAACTCTCTGAACAGAGTAGAATGAAACAAAAAAGTGATTCAAAAACCTTTAAATAAACAATGAGACTATTCTGAAAATGTGCAAATCAATATAGTACAAAAAGATAGAATAGGCTTAGTCCATGAAGTCCTCTAATGATCTGATTATAGAATGGCAAGATTTAGCTCTAGAATCTGAAATTTTAACATTTTTCAAATTCTTTAATTATATATATTTTGATACAGTTGAGAGACACCAGTCTTTAGAAAATATACCTTCCAGAAAAAATAAGTTAAATTAAATCTACTCACATATTTACATCAAATATTAGTGTACCTTAAAAGCATTTCCTTATAATTTGCTTAATTCTTTCTAATTTAAAAGTTTTTTTTTGTCATTAAATGTTTTAGCAAGTACATTGCTTACCTCAACTCGATTATATCGTTCAGTGTTTGTCACTAGATCTGTAACAGTTGGTAGAACCTGCAAACAAGTACATGTAAACATTATCTCTAAAAGTTTAGTAGATGTGCAATTTGACTAATGTTTTGAGTGGCAAATTGCATACCCAGCTCTTCCCTTGGTAAAACCCAACAGATCCAGTGAAAGCCTACAAGTAAAAATGAACTCTGAGTACATAATGGGCTTTCTTTTTGAAACTCTTTAAATGTTTTGCAGATTATTTTAAGGACACTGTGCTCTATGTCTTTTATCTCTCAAAAGCATGTATAAATTTGTTAAAAATGAGTAAAATCTCTGCAAGGATTTTCAATAGCATTCATTCTCCAAGAAAATTACTGTAAGACAGGGGAAGTGGATTGGAAATGAGCAGAAATGGCAAAGCAGTTGCATCACTTCTTGTTCAAAGCAGCCCATTTCATTCACAGTAGAGATGTGGTCAAGATTTCTACTGTCTGAATTTGGTACATTTAATGCATTAAATTTAATGATAACCTTGAATTTTGCTTCTAAAGAAAACTATATTTTATATCAAGAAGTAAGAAATATCCTAAAATTTATTTTAATTATGAAATACTTTTCTAATTCAGGCTTAAGCACTTATTCTGACCCAAGTATAAACCAGAAGTTAAATGGTGTGAACCAGAAAAAAAGCAGAAAACTTAAATAGCAGCAACATCTTTATTCTCTGCGTTGTAGCTGAATATTTTATTACTGTATGTTTTGGTTATGGGAAACAAGCCAAAATGCTGAAAATGTTATTTATGATCTTTGACTTGTGATATTTTGTTGTGGTGTGAATTTTGTTCAAATTCAAGTATTTATAATAGCTACTACAGTAAAGATATGGGGGTTATTTGGTAAAATATTTTTATTTTTCAATATAAGGGAAAGCTTAATATGAAATTGTTTTGCTTTTGAACTACTAAGTCAGCACATCAAGTATGGTCTGGATCAGTCAACTCATTTAGGAGGAGATCCATCCACAGAAAGACAGAAAGTTTTTCTTGATATTGGATAGTTCCCACACTGGTATGGTTTACTATATATATATAGCATACATATGAAGAATGCCTGTAACCCAATTTTTTATACTTGTTTAAGTGAACTTATAAAATGGTAACATCAAAAACCATTTTAAACATAAAAATTATTCAAATAAAATTTGTTTTGGTTACAATAAATGAACAAATAATTTTAGATCCATTTGGCTATTTTTAAACAAATCTAAATCTAACAAACACAGTCTAGTATAATCTACACATGATACACACTTAGCTATTACCACACGATTATATATATAATATATTGCAAGTGTAGATCACATGGCATTAGAAATTCACTTTTGAGATAAGCATTAACAAAGGGAATAAAGAGATACTGTTTGTTTGTTTTTGAATTTTGCACAAAGCTACACGAGGGCTATCTGCGTTATCCGTCCCTAATTTAGCAGTGTAAGACAAGAGGGAAGG